TATATGAAAAATACTGTCCTAAAAACAAGGTTTATGAAAGGATTTTAAAACAACGCTTGTTTATAGCTAGGCAGGTAATGCACACCTTTAATCCCAGCACTCAGAGAAGCAGAGGTGGACAGATTGCTGTGAGTTTGGGCCCAGCCTGGTCTACAACGCAACTCCAGAATGGCAAAGGCTACACAGAGCAGCTCTGTATTGAAAAATCAAAATCAAACAAACAAATAAATAAAAACCCAATGCTTTTTTAATGAGCTTTTTTAAATGCTTTTTTAAAACCGCACCTCCATGCATTCATATACAATAACTTTGTAACATAAGAGACACCCAAGTGGTATTGGCTTTAAAGTCATGAAGGGGTCATAGAGAAGAGCTAAGGCTTTGCAGTGTGTTGCAGGAGTGAAGTTCATAAAGACAGCCCAGTGACAACAGGGGAGCCCAGCAGCTTTAGAGATGCCATGTGATCATAACCAGAAACACCAGCCATCCAGAAGGCAGGCTGTATATGCTACTGAGGGTTTGGCCAGAGAAAATTAGGAATAAGTTGCAGATATTCAACATTGAATTGTTTGTACTGTTGGAATCTGATTTTGCCTTGTCTGGATTATGTTTAAGCCATGTTTTCCCTCTTGAAATTAAAAAAAAAAAGGTGCTTTATTTTTTTAATATTGTAGGAGCACACAGTTGAAAGATTTTAAACTTCTTTAAGAGAAAATTTTGTAGTTTTACAGAAAATTTAAATTTAAAAAATTGGATTTTTTTAAAAGATGAATCTTTTAAAAATATTTAAACTTATAAGGCTATGGGGTTTTTTATTATAATAATGTCTTTATTGTTATGTAATCTTTAAATATAAATAAATAAGACATATAGGTATTTTCCGCTAATTTAAAGTTAATTCAAGCCAATTTAAAGTATAAAGGCATGGTTATTAGGGGCAGCTCTTGGGTGGGTCCATTGGTCCCAAGGAATAGGGCCAGGGAAGTCATGCAGACAAGGGTGACAGAGAAGGGAAGGGGAGAAAGAAAGAGCATATACACAGAGAGAGGAGGAGAGAAAAAGGAGGGAATCAAATGTATGGACTATATAGCAAAGAGCCTCTGGGGAAGAAGACACCCTAACCCTGCCTTACAAAGTTCAGGGTATGGCAGCCATGCCGTGTAACAGGTAGGGACTGAGGGATGCTGGGAGACTTCAGAGGCCAGGTCCACTTTGATATGTTAAATAGGCAGCTCAGCTGCTTGTCCTGGGTCTGAAACCCAACAAAAAAAGGTTAAAAATTAGGGCTACCAAATACCACATACCAAAACACCAGAAACTGGGAAATTCCTCTGTTATAATGCAGCAAGACAATGACCTAAGCAGTCTGACAAAGAGTCTCTCCTTACCTTAGTTGTATTCAGGATAACAGAGACTTATTTAAGAATGAATGTCTAACCGCCTTGTCTTTGCTGCTTTGTTAAGTTTTAACTATTTTGATAAACTGGGTCATGTAAGAAACTGTGATATTCTGTAATAGTGCACTATGAAAGTTATGTTGCCAGTTTCCCTATGGACTGTATTTCTGATTAAAATTTTATTTCAGTACTAAAAAAAAAACAATTCAAAACAATATTTTTAAAGTTTTTATTGGTTCTTTGTGAATTTCATATCCTGCACTGCAACTCCACTCATCTCTCTGTCCCCTTGTACATGCCCTCTGTCCCAAAAGGAAAACAATGAAATCTCACGGCCACTGCAGTGTGTCACAGCGTCCCACAGTACACCCTTTTGTCCACACGTCTTTGCTTGCAGATGGTTACGGCACTGAGTCACTGGTCTGGTTGGAGGCCTCCGGCTTCTGCTGCACTATCAATACTGGGTCCTCACCAGGACTCTTCTCGGTTATCCTGTTGTTGCCCTGTGTAATGGAGATCCTGCAGCTTTGGATCTATAGGACAGGCCCTTCACAAGCTTCGGCAGTTCATCAGTGAGACAGGTGTTGGGGGTGGGCCAACTCACAGCCCTGGATCTGGGCCTAAGAGGTATCTGAGCTGCTCAGCCTGCCAGGTCTCTTACCACACCACTGGAGTGAGCTCTCCACCTGCCCCAGCTGGCTCATCCAGTTCTCCACTCTCATGACCTGGGGGCCAGTTCTCCTGCTTGCCATAGGTGGTGAGGGACAAGAGAAGTAATGAGGGTTTCTTTCCCTCATCTGTGCCAGTGCATGGCAAACAAGTTGAAGAGCTGGCTCTCCCATGATCCTGCCCTCAGGCCTTCTCACCCATGTCCCTGCCACCAGAGTCAGCTCTACTGTACTACCAGGTGAGGTGCAGACCCAGCTCTTCCACCTGCTGCAGGTGGCAAAGGGTTAGAAGGATGCCTATCCTCCTCACCCATGTCACTGCATGGCAGACAACTGATGAGGCCAGATCTCCTATGCTCATCCTCATGGGTACAGCTCACTTGCGACACCCACAATCATGGCTAGCTCTACTGTGCTTTCTGGGTGATGTGCAGGGGAGAAGGTGCTCTTTCAGGTACTGCAGCTGGCAATGGATGAAGTCAGTTCTCCTGATCTCATGCTCTCAGAACCAGCTCTCCTACAATGCCCAGGTTAAGGGCAGTGTCAGTTCTTCAAAGCTCTAAAACAACAACATGGCCCTGGGAGCAGCCCAGGCCCGGGATGTTCATCTGGTCTTTGGTGAAAACAGAGTGTGGCTGCTGCAGGGACACAGACCTGCCCTCAGTGGCGGCAGCACAGGCCAGGGCCTCACCATGCCTTAGGAGGCATCAATGGCTGCTCATATCAGTCTGCTCCTCACTACCCTCGAGTCTCCAGTTCTGCCTCTCTTCATTACTTTTTTCTAGGCAAAGTGAGGCAATCAACTCTCCAGTGGCCTGCTTGTCCACAGTTTGGGCAGGGTCCTGGCAGTGGCATGACCGTGGGGCAGTTATTCCCAGTGGTTAGCATTACCATAAGCCAGGTGAAGTTGTCATCATGCACACATCCTTCTGCTTCTCTTTCTCTTCCATTTCTCCACCACTTACTTGCTCCTCTTAGTGGTGTCCAGAATCTCTGGGTGTCTGGGGTCATCTCAGGAGTGATCTCAGGAATACTATGCCTAAGCCATGCAGTGTGGCACCAGTGAAGAGTCACCCTGGGTGCGGTCTCCGCACCCAAGCCTGAGTAGAGCACAACTGGCGATCATCTCAAGCTAGCTTCCTTTCTAGGTTTTTGGGGTCGCTCTGGGCTACACAGCCCCAGACGGTGGTCTTCTCATCTCAGACTCACTCCCGACCCTGGCAACGGGGCCTCTGACATGGGTTGTGTCAGGCATGGTCTGCTTGACCAGGGAGCTACACAGTGCCAGACTGGTGATCATCTCAGGCATACTCCTATCCTAGCTGTGGGGGACAGCGATCTGGAGCTACTTGGGGGGGGGGGGGTGGCGATCTGGAGCTACTGCAGTCAAGTGTTGGTTGCTTGCCCACCGGGCAATGTCCCTTGCCTGCTGCCAGGACCCTGTCCAAACTGTGGACAAGCAGGACATTGGAAAGTTGGTTGCCCCACATTGCCTAGAAAAAGTAAGGTCTGTGTCTCAAGTTCCTCTCCTACAGGAAAATCTCAGAAAATCTCTCAGACCTGAGTCTGGCAGTCAAACATTGATGCTGTCTTGGGACCTCTGCCCCCAACAAAGACATGGAGACCACAGGAGTCTAGAATAACCATCTAGATAATTGACTAGTCTCTCTCATTTTGATTGATGCATAGGTCATTTCGATTATACTTCCTGTTATTTTTTTTCTTTTCAGATCTTTGATGACGTTGATAGCTTGACTAACTGTAGCTTTGTCAGCTTGCAGCAGCAAGCAAACAGCTCCTTCCCCCAAGCTGCAGCCACCTTATTCATTAAATTTCATATGTAAAACTCAGTCCTTGCCTTTTCTAGAGCTACTAGGTCTCTTGTTAAGAAAATGAAAAAAGACTGTTTGCTATGCTAACAGTCTTTATACTAAAGGATAAACAGGTTTCAGATGTGACTTTTCACTCTTCCTTTATAACTACTCATGTCTCTGGTAAATGATTAGATGGAAAGAAAAAGGTTTAAAGTCTACACAAGTTCTGGGGGTCTGAGATGTTCTGAGATGTATGGAAGTCTAAGGATATGAAAGCTTAAATAAGTTCTGAGGGTCTAGGAAAGGAATTTAAGATATATAAGTACAACTTGCAAGTATGTAACAATAATTTAAGACGTGAAAGTGGGAAATGTTTCAGATTTTCCCCCTTCTATGCAATTGTTATACTAATATTTCAAAGGTCCAGAGTTTTAATACTGATCAGTGAAGTTCTGATAAGGTGGTGAAGCTACTTTTTCTACAATATAGATTTTAATACCAATTACAAGCAATGGTAGTGCTAATATATTTAAAACTTTTAAGTTTCCCCACTATCTATTCCTGAGAATAGGATCTCTCTCTTGGTCTTGGGACCTCCTCCCCTCCCCCAATTGCTATGACTATGAAAGTTGCAAATGTAAAATTTTCCTCTAAGTTCCTAAACTTTAACTTTGGTACCTTGTCTATATCTGTCTCAGTAGATCCCCACCACAGCCCTCACAATGTTCAATGCAGAAATTAAGGTAACAGCATCTGGTTCTTCCAGCCACACCTGCACCTCAGTCCCTTGAATTTATGTGTGGGTTTCTTTCTCCTCCTGCTGTGGCTACAGAATGAATAATAATTTGATAAGTACAATGAGAGTGTCTGCAGGTGGCAGAGGAGCAGAG